CTTGGTGCACCCCAGCTTTATGGGCTATGCGTGCCTCCTACCTCCCCTTTAGCACGCCCCAAGCCTCGCAGCTCCTCCAGCCCCCGGAGCAGCCAGATCTGGGCGCTGCCAGGCCCGCCAGCCCCCCACCCAGCTGCGGCCCTGGCCCCGGCTCCCCCACATCTCTCCTGCGCCGTGCCGCGCCGTGCTGCGCCGCGCCGCGCCGGGGGCTGCGATTCCCTCCCACTCCCCGTCATGCTTCGGGACTTTCCTCTTGCTTACAAACGTGATTAAGGCTCCGCGCTACCTAATCCATTACCGGGAGATTAGCAGGCGGGGCGGCGAAATAAATAATGATATTTAACATTTTGTAATAACAACAATTAACCGGTAAATAATGTCTCTTAAACCGCAAAAGCCAGAGCGAATTAATTCTTCTAATTAGCTGTCAGGGAACCAGAAACTCGGGGCTCCGCACGCGTGTGCGTGCACGCGTGTGCGTGTCCCGGCGGCCGGCACCGCAATCCCAGAGCTGCCCGTGGCGAGGGAGCCCCGGCCGTGGCGCACGTGGTGTTTCTCGCTGGCAGCCAGAGCCTTGGCCACGTGCTCCCGTGCCCGGCATGTCCCTGGCACGCACACCCGGCCGGGCACGAAGTCTGCCCGGCAAGCGTCCCCCCGCCGCGGCGCTGGGCCTTGCTGAAGGCACCGGAGACTGCTAGTCCCTTCCTTCATGAGTGGAGGCGAGTCCTGTCCCCAGGGCCCTGCCACCGAGCCAGGCCGTGCCTCCAGAGCGAGGGGACGCAGACAGCACCCCTCTCCCCGCCGCGCGAGGTCCAGGCCCAGCTGCTTGCCGGCTAGGGGCACCAGGCCGGGCTGACCAGCGCCTGCCCGCAGCGGGGTGCTGCTGACCGGGGATGCCCTGCCTGAGCGGCACGGGGGCCTGGCTGCAGCTCCATGGCACGGAGACACGGCAACGCGTGGGGGAGCCGCGCCAGCCGGCAAGGACGAGGGGAGCGGCTGCTCGGAGCCAAGAGGAAAGGCCCGTGCCGGCTCCCCAGCAGGCCAGCAAGGGCCCTTCATTGCCGGCCTCGGAGGGGTGCAGAGGGCAGTGGTGCCCGGGGAGCAGAGCGGGGAAGCGTGGGGGAGCTCCCCGGGTGCCAAGGGGAGACAAGACAGCGGCTGCCCACCGCCTCCCGCGTGGACGGAGCCGCCCCGGGCGACGCGCTCGGCCTTGTGGCTGCCGGAGAACCGCGGCTCCGCAGCTCAGCCCGGCCGGACTGCAGCACGGGCTTGTCCTAGGATCACAGACAATGAGGGTGGAAGGGAGCTCAGGGGGTCACATCTAGTCCAACCCCTGCTCCAAGCAGGACCAGCCCCAACTACATCCTCCCAGCCAAGGTTTGTCAACCCGGGTCTTAAACGTCTCCGAGAACGGAGACTGCACCACCTCCCTGGGGAGCCTGTCCCAGTGCTTTTCTACCCTCCTCGGGAGACAGTGGTTCCTAATACGCAACCTCAACCTCCCTTGCCGCAACTTCAGCCCATTGCTCCTTCTGTCACCTGCCGCCACTGAGACCATCCAGCTCCATCCTCTGCGCAGCCCCCCGGCAGGGAGGTGACGGCTGCTGTTCAATCCCCCTCGGTCTTCTTCTGCAGACTCAATCAGCCCAGGTCCCTCAGCCTCTCCTCCTAAATCCTGTTCTCCAGCCCCCCCAAGCATGTTCCCTGCCCTCCCCTGGACTCTCTCCAACTAGTCCACATCCTTCCTGCAGTGGGGAGCCCAACACTGGACACAGGACCCCGACATGGCCTCCCCCATACCGAATAGAGGGGAAATCACTGCCCTCGATCTGCTGGCAGTGCAGCCCCGCAGCCGTCGGCCTTCCTGGTGACAAGGGCTTCTCAAGCATCGTCCCACCCGTGTGCCTGAACGACACATCTGCTGGCAACGGACACCCAAAGCCCCTCTCCTGTCCCCTCCCACGAGCATGCAGCGTCCCCTGGCTCTGACCACCTCCGACCTGGCCCATGGGGCTTCTCCTCCTTGGCTTTTCTTTCCTCCTGCTACCATTGAAAAGACGCACGCGCTTCAGATCAATGGTGAAGCCAAGCGCTGGCAGCTCCGGGCGGGCGCCGCGGCGGCACAGGCAGGGGAATACGCTGCCAGTTGCTGCTTTCCGGGGATCAAATGCAGTTTGCAGAATCCTTTGCATGTATTATTCATCCCATCAATGAGACACGGGCGTCTCGGCGCTACCAGGGTTTTTATATAGAAATCAAAAAAGGGGGAAAAACCCACACAGGCCCCTGAGCCCCACAGTCCCCGGTCCCAGCACCAGCCTGCTGCAGACCCCCACATCCTTTCCTCGAGAAGGGGCCTGGTGCTGACGCAGGAGCAGGCGAGAGGCTCCCATGCAAGGCCCTAAATCACCGGCTGTCTCGGGGAGAAAAATGGCTACAAAATACTTTATGGATGTAATAAACGGCAGCGGAAAAGCCCGTTTCCTTTGGGGTGGGCGGCACGGCTCCGTGAGCTGCAGACGGATGGGCTCTCGCAGCCGCGGAAGGGACTGAGAGCGGCACCGGGGGTAGGGACCAACCCACGGCACCGCAGGACCCCCCCGAAGCGAGCGGGAGCTGCCCCAGGCTCCTCCTGTGCCCCAGCCCCTGCGGGAGGAGGAGGTGGCAGGAGCTGCCTGGAGCCTTGCAACGTTGCTGGCAGCGATGGGCCCATTTCCCTGCCCGCAGGAGAAGGCAGAGGCCGGTGGGGGCCCAGACAGCGAGTGCTACCACCCCAGGGCCAAGTCTTTGCCTGGCCTCCAGGGAAGGGATGTTCTGTGCCCGGAAAGCTGAGGTCCAGGAGGCTTTGCCTGGAGCCCCACGTGCCCTGGCCCCAGCCCTGGCTGGAGCGGCTCAAGGGGGAGAGGCCGGGAGCCGCCCCGGCACGTCCCATCGCCAGGCTTGGCCGGGCCTAGGGGCTGCCTCGAGCTCCCTCCACAGCGGCTGGCCCATGCCCCAGGTTGCCCCTGCGCCAGCACCCAGCAGGAGCCGGCCCCGGGGGCTGCCCCTGCCCCAGGCGCCTGCCGGCTGGGGCCTAGCCCCGCCTGCGAGCAGCGATGCTGGCGCCCGCCCCCCAGAGCCAACGCTTGGCCGCCTGCCCCCCTGCCTGGCGGGGCTGGGAAGAAGCAGCAATAGCTGCTCTGTGCTCAGGCTAAAAATACCCGCAGCTACAAAGTGCCAGGAAGGAGATGAAAGGCACGAAAGGGAGGCCGGCAGCGTGCCGTTAGGAGCGGATCAGCTGCCTGCCACCGAAGCGCCTGAGCAAACGCCATGCCCGACCCCCTGGCCGGTGGGGGGGCGCAGCAGGGGAAAGCCCCTCGGCCCCCTGCCCGAGGGCCGGCCACCTCCGTGTGCCAGGCCCGTGGGCGCGCACGTGGCTGGAGGCAGCATGGGGCGGGCACCGGGGCATCGCTTGTGGGCCCGTGAGCTCTTCGGTCCCAGCAAACAGACGAGCCGAGCACGAGCCCTGTGGCCTGTGCGGGTGCAGCCGGGGGGTCGGGCGAGGCCAGGGGGTTATCCCCCCTGCTGCCGCCCCGAGCCCAGGAGCAGGCTGACCCCAGCTCCATGCGGGCCCAGAGCCTCCAAGCAGCCACACCGAGGGCGAGGGAGCCCCCCGCCTCCACCAGCAATTAAACCCGTGCCTGTTTTTGGAGACAAATTGGAAAATGAGGCTCAGCCACCGCTCGGCACACAGCGAGCCCCGCACCCGCGCCACGCGCTGCCGGCGCCAGCTCAATTACGCCGCGCATCGCCTGATTAAGATGTTGATGTGTAAACAGCGCGGCGTCCCCGGGGAGCCGCGTGGGCAGGGCTGCCTGCCGGGGGCTGCCTGGCTCTGGAGCCCCCTCCCCAGCCCGGCGGGGGCCACCGCGCCCCAGCCGGGGGCTCAGGCCACGTGGGCCCTGCTCCTCTCCAGGCCGGGGAGAGGAAGGACCCGGCCGGCTGCACGGTGCAAGGGCTCTGCCAGCCCCTGCCAGCCGCGGCGCGGGGGCCCGATGCCAGCGGGGGCACGCCGCAAATGACAATGCCCCCAGGCACGCAGCAAGCCGTCCGCAGAAATTGCCTTCCCCACAGGCTTTCACTTATCTCATTATCCAGCTCCTAATGTGCTTCCCCCCCTGCTCTCCGCGCTCGGTGCAGAATCTTATTAGCGGCTTCGCGGCGGCGAGGGCACCGTCATCTCGCCCCCTCCGGCGTTCATTACCTTCCCTAATAAAGGCAATCACCGTCGTGATGGGCGCAGCAGCACGGCACTGCTGCAGCACGGTGATCGCGCGGGGGAGCTGCCCGCGGGTGCCCCCCGGGCCAGGCAGCGGGGTAGCACTCGGCCTGGCAGAGACCCCAGACCCGGGCTTCATGGAGCCCAGAGTCCTGGCAGGGCCAGGCTCGGTGCCCGATTCCCCTTGGCACATGGCAGTGCCATGGGCAGCGCCTCCAGCCCTGGCTCCTCTCTCCTGGGGTTGCCGCCTGCGTGGGCTTGGGTGAGGTTTTCCTCCCTTGGCGGTAACTCCACCTCTGGGCCCATAAATCACAGGCTGGGACCGGGGTGGGTGGCGCAGAGCTGGGCATCTCCTGCGCCAGGTGCTGCTTGCTGCTGCCCTGCTGGTTACCAACGCAGCATGCTAATGCCGGGAAGCACCAAAATGAATCAGGCTGCTGTGCAGGCGGGCGGGCGGCCGAGGGTGGCTGCAGCTCGGCCTGCTTCCCTTGCCCCAGCGGGTGTGGCCCCCCCGGGCACAGACGCAGGGCCTGCCACGTGCTCGGAGCCGCGTGGGGCCGGAGAGGGGCGACCAGCCGAGCCAGCAGTTAACTTTGGCCCGGACCTTGCCCCACTCCCGCCCCTTGGCCCGGTGCCCGGGGCCTGAACATGGCTGCGCCGAGCTCGGCCGGCAGCTCCCTGTACGACGCCATCGTCGTGGGCGCGGGGATCCAGGGCTCCTTCGCTGCCTACCACCTCGCCAAGCGGGGCAGGAGGGCCTTGCTGCTGGAGCAGGTACGAGCCCCCGGGCCCCCCTGCCGGGGACCCCCGCGAGCGGCGCAGGCTCCGGCCCGGGGGGGCAGTGCCCGCTAAGGCTGCTCTCCTCTGTGCCGGCAGTTCCCCCTCCCTCATTCCCGGGGCAGCTCCCACGGGCAGAGCCGCATCATCCGCAGCACCTACCCGCAGCCGCACTACACCCGCGCGATGCCCGAGTGCTACCGGCTCTGGGCGCGGCTGGAAGCAGAGGCCGGCGTCCAGCTCTACAGGTCAGAGCGGCCGCGGCCGGGGGCAGGAGCAGCTGGTCAAGCTGGGACCATTTTGCCCTCCCCAAGGCCTTGCACCCCCTGCAAGCGCCAGGAGGCTTCCCAGCCCGGCAGGCACAGGGCCCAGCCGCCTGGCCTCCCTGGCGCCACGGGTCTCTGCCCACCCCAGGCTCTGGTTTTGCTCAGTTTCTTAAATGAAAACACACCAAACTGCCCCATTTCTGGTATGCAGATGTCGCCTCCTCCAATCAGGGGGCTCACTTGCCCCTTGGGCTTGGGGTCTGTGCCGTGGCATCCTGCCCCCCAGCCTGGCACTGCAAACGGTGCCCCTAGCCCCCGACAGCCCACGCGGCCTCCATAATGACCGGCCCAGGCTCCCCCAGCTCATTTGTAGCCGAAGCAGGAGCTGAGCTTTCCAGGATCGGCATCCAGGGCATTGACCCGGGGCTCCTGCCCGCTGCTGGCCTGGGCCCCCCGGAAAGGGCTGGGCCCCGGGTAGGACTGGGCCCGGCAGCCCGCGCCGATCCCCCCGGGAGCTGCGGCACGCTGCCTGGCAGAACAAGACAGATTGGGACGGCGCGTAATTTATTTGACTCCATAAAGGAAGAGCCATTAAGGAAATAAGCGTGGAAATGATTCTCCATCTACCGGGGTCACGGCTAATGGAGCTATCCATCTCGGCAGGCGGGTGCCAGCAGGCAGCCCTTGCGGTGGGGATCGGCCGCCTGGCTCCCTGCCTCCCTCCTTGCCCGGGGCTGGGCTGCGTGGTCCAGAGGGCAGAGCCGGATGCCTGGGTGCCTGGGAACAGGGCCCGCTCGGCCGGGGTCAGAGCCATGCCGAGCTGCAAAGCGGAGCCAGCCTCTCCTGGCACGGCCACAGCACCATCCTCAGCCCCGGGGGCATCACCCGCTCCAGGGACCAGGCCAGGACCCCCGGGCTCCTTCCCTGGCTCTGGGCAAGGCCCCGGCGG